TGTATATAACTGACTGACTTGCATGAAAACAACATACCATCTGGAGATAGTATAATTTCTAACTATTCATAGAATGAAAGCTTCTATGTTGATAAATGTTGAATATTTCAACTTATGAATGTAGAACAATGTGAAGATATTAAATTTAAATTGAATAATACATTCTGTTGTCAAACTGATTTGAGTAAAAGTAAATTCTAGTGAGAAGCTGTGACCAGTTGAGTTCAACCGGTCTGTTGTCAGATAGTAACTCATTGAAGACAATGGTGGATGTGTTGCTCAATTACATTAATTAGTTGAAATTAAAGATTAACACCGATGGATACCGGCTCAGTGGTCTAGAGAGTAAACGCTCGCACGCGAGATCGATAGGTCCTGTGTTCGAATCTGGCGAGGCGGGATAGTGGATACATATCGCTGAAGAGTCACATACTAGGACAAAATGGCTATCCAGTGCTTCCAGGTTTTCCATGGTGGTCTAACTTCAATTTACTCATCAACTCGATCATTAGATTACTATAATATCCACTAACCCCCTATCTGATAATAAATTTTTATTATCAATGCAATGAATATTAAATATCCGTTTACGAAAACACCATGTTGAATAACAGAAAAATGTATTCGAAAGAAAAATTATGTAAAGAAAATTAACAACAACAAAAAAACGTTGGTAGTTAAAATAAACTTACATCTACATTTTGTTCGCAACGAAAATGACCAATTATCTGTCCGAAATATAATCGTGAATTATCATTATACTCCATTTTATAATCAATTAAATTTTTTTGAATAAGTGAAATAATTTTTTGCGAAGATAAAATTTCACCAATGTTTGCAATAGTCTGGAGGGTTTTTAATGACTATATTGATAATGAAAAATAATCGAAAAATAAAATAAAAATTTATCTGTAAACGTTTTCGTTAAGTTCATGAATCAACTGAAGCTAGACGATTATGGAAAACATGGGAGCAGTCTCACTGTGAGACTCCTCAGCACTGCGCATCCACAATCCTACTAAGCAAGATTCGAACGCAGGACTCTTCAGTCACGAGCGCAAACGCTTAATCTCTAGACCACTGAGCCGTGTCTGTTGTGAGATAGTAATTCACTGAAGGCAATGGTGGATGGTGACTCAATTTCGTGAATTGGTTGAAGTTAAACAGTAACGCAGTTGGATGCTGGCCCAGTGATTGATTTGTTAAGCGTTCGCGTGCGAGACCGATAGGTCCTGGGTTCGAATGCCGTGTGTGGGATTGTGAATGCACATTGTTGAGGAGTCCTACATTAGGAAGAAACGGCTATTGAGCGCTTCCAGGTCTAGCTTCAATTAATCCATGAACTTAACTTCTAAATTACCATAACATCCACGAAACCATTTTCTGATAAAAATGTTTTGTAGTTAAATGGGAGAAAAATATTCATTTTAAGATATTGTCATCATGTTTTTATGATATAAATTAAATTTACTAATCAAAAGTCATTGTAAAGTTTAAATCTAAATGCATTTTTTTTGAAAACACGATATGACCATACATTTATTAATAGAATAAGTTCACTTTTTGTAAATGTTGAAATATTTAGAATGTATAGTATGTATACCTGATTTAGTTTCTAGGTCAGTTAACCTTTCATTATAACTGGTAGTAATAACTTTTAACACTGAAGAGAGGAAGAAAAAGAAATAAGCAATTAGTTATCAGATTTAATATATGAAAGTTGAGGTCATTCATTATGTTTTCTATGTTCATGTACTTCATTATATATAGCATCTTCAACCATTTTCTCCTTAATTTAATGTTATATTATTAGTGTGTAATTTTCAATAAAAACTTCGTTACATCTACGGTTATCAACAATTATCTTCTATGAACATGGTAGTATACCTTGGCGTGATGTATGGGATTATAGTTACGAATAAATTTTTAGTCCATATATGAAAAAACTACCCATTATGTAAATCAGTTTTAAAAATGAAACCAAATGAATGGAAAAATAAATGGTCAAATTCAGTAATTACATAACATATTACTTAGAAAATTTCACCATTATTTTATTAATAAAACCTTTTCAAATGTTAAAAACACTTTGTAACTAATTAACTGTAATCATAGTTTTTATCAATCCAAATTACTCATTAAAACCTAGTAAAACTTCTCCTTTTTTTTAGGTCAAATAACAAAACTTTATCGCTTTCACTACTTTTTGTTATTTCAGAATTTCGCTAATTGAAAATTTAACTATGTTTAAGGTGATAATCAATTTGAAAGAACACACATAAGTCTCAGAGATTAATGTAAAGGAACTTTTAATTTCATACAATTATTAAATTACGTAAAACCTTAGCACCTTTTAAACAATACAAACTGAAATGACTTGTATAAATATTTGCTTTGTGATTATTTTTAAACTAATTATCCCATACTATACACAAATTCTAATCATCGAGTGAAGTTTCAATTTATAAGCTTCTTTTAACCATCTCCAATTATATTTATCTGTAGTGTCAATTGTAATTTCATTGAAAAGATAAATATTCTGTTCTTAGCTTATACGATTAACACGACGTATAATATTAGTTTATAATTAATTATCAGAAGGGGTTTTGTGGAGATTTTAGAAAGTTCACTGGTTGAAATCATGAGCCAATTGAAGCTAGATCACCATGAAAAACCTGAAAACACTGTACGGCCGTTTCGTTCTAGTATGGCAATCCTCAGCAGTGCGCATACACGACCTCGCTCACTGCGAGATTTGAACCCAGGACCTATCAGTCTCGCGCCAGGCGATTAACCAACCAGACCACTGAACCGGCATCCAACGGTGTTAATGTCTAACTTCAGACAATCCACGAAGTTGCGCCACGATGCACCATTATCTTCAGTGAGCTGATATCTCACAACAGACTTCGTTGAATTCCACGGGTAACGGCTTCTCACTAGAACTCCAGGAGTATAATTAATTTCTAACGTTTATCATCCCTTTAGTCTCGTTCATATAAAACAATAAAGATTTTATCTGATAAAAATTTCTAAACTTATTACGTCACCATAGAAAATCAAAATGAGTAAAGTTTTCTCTTCGATATTATTTCTTAAAATTATATTATTACTTTTATAATTATTTCATATAAAATAGTATATATTAAATCACTAATTTATTATTACATCATTAACAAGTTTAACAAAATTTAGTTAAACATTTCAAATGTCAAATAATAATCACATATAGATGATCTAAATATTAATCAAATATAAATTAAATAAAAATCACACAGAAAAAACTTATGTAAAATATTGTTGTTGCCTAGGTAATTCATGATTTTTTTTAAAAAAAACAAACAAAAAAATGTTACACTAAATTATACCCTTAAGATAATTTTGTTTATAGAAATAAAAACTAGTATGTTGTATTTTGCAGATATAAAGGGTATGAAATGATAAGAATTCATTTCCTTTCATTATGTTTTGTTGTTGATTTTTTTTTGTCAATACATCAACAAAACTAACTAACAATCAATGTTAGAATGTCATTTATTAAGGATAATTCACATGTATTGTATAGATAATAATCTGATTTCGGAACTAATTAGACCTCTTCAATAAGTAACATGATTAAACATTATTTTTTTTCTCCTCTTTAAATAGCTAATTAAAATAAACATGAAATAAAATCTTCTTCCTTTAAAGATGTTATCTATTTCTTTTTTATAATTGAAAACTAAAACAACAAAAATTTATGATTAATAGCAGTATACTTATTAAGTATTTTGTTAATTAATAGGTGATATGAATGTTTTCATTATGAATGTTATGATGTTTGTGTTTTTGATGAATAACTTCGATAAATTTTACACTTCTTTTTTTTCTTAACAATACATAATTATAAATGATAATGAAGAATGAAATCGTTGAATAAGTTGAATATGATCATGCTGATGGACGGAATGGTTTATAACTATGTAAAAACATGAACCTTAGGAATATTCTATATTCGATAACGTTAGTTACTACTATTATTTGCGGCCTGCTTGAATATCTAGGCTACTTGTTCCTACCACTTGGATATTTCAACAAGTTATCTCTTTTTTTGTTTGTGTTAACATATCATTATGCTTATTGGTCGCATAACCTATTCAGGTGTGTTTGTGAAACGTTCATGACATTTCACTGTACAAATTACAAAAGAGCTCAATCAGAGATACCATAGTTGCTGGCAATATGCATCGAAAAGAATATACATTATTCATATGTCGATTCCTGAATTGCTAACATTTGCAAGGGTCGACCAAGAACTAAGAAAACGTAATGGAATACTTTGTGCTGATAATTTTTTATTGTACCGAAAATATAATATTGAGTAAAGCCAATAATAACAATATTTATTTTTATTTTACATTGACAATAGAAAGAAATGATAATTAATTTCATTAGAATGGGGATTCGTGAAGATTATGGTAATCAGTACCAAAGCACAAAGTAGTATGTCGATCATATTCATTGAAAACCGAATTACTACAACCACATCGGTCACTACTTCTCATTAAAACTCTAGTAAATTCATTTTGAAGCTAGTTTAATCCGTGTCATGTGGTGACAGTTATCCACTTCAGTTAATGGATGAAGGGTTGCGTTTGACCATGGATCGACTGAAGCTAGACATTGATACCGTTGGATGCCGACTCAGCGGTCTAGATGTTAAGTATTCGCTAGCGATACCGAAGGTCCTTAGTTCCAGTTTGGTGTGCGCGATCGCGGATGCGCACTGTTGAGAAGTCCCATACTCGGACGAAACTGCAGTCGACTGCTTCCATGTTTTCTGTAGTATTCTAACTTAGATCGACTCATTAGTTCAACTACTAAGATGATCGATTTGTTAGTCAACAACTAAGGATTTTTTTTCGAAGGTTTAATTGAGTGACGGATATAAAATTTATGTCAAGATCAAAAACATATTGAAAGTATGAACAAAAGAAAATAACATATAATAAAAGTCTCAACAAACCATAGTTTAGTAATATCGCATGAGAAATTAATGGCATTTTAAATGATTACCTTTATGTTGTCTTCTAAATCAACTGCATTTTCAATAATGTTTACCATTTCTTTGATTATTTGAGATTTCATACATGATGGATGATTTTCACAAAAACACTTTATACTTAAACTGACATAATAAACTGTGTGATTGTATAAATGATCTGTTAACAAGCTCTAAGAACAAAAGATATATGAAATGAATCAATAGTCATCCTGAATTATATTGCTGTATAAAAGTATTATCGAAATAAATATTTAATTGTCAATTATTTATAGAAGTACAATAAGGTAAGATGAATGAAGGTTACATGTAATCAACAAATATATATAGTTACATATCGAAAGACTAGGGTTTACTTCCATCGGAATCAAATAATATTAATTACAAGTTGAAATCGAATTCTGTGGTTATAATTACCGTTGACACACGTTTACACTGTATAACAAATCTATCTGTGTTTTAATAAAATTACTGGCTCAAGAAGTTGGGTAGTTCAATAACCACACAGAAATTATTTGAGTTATATAAATAAGCTTTGAGAATATATCTAAGAAACTAATTGTTTCGGATTAAGAAAATGATAAATGTGTGCATGTGCGCTGTAGCAAACGGTTTTTACTGAATATGAATGAGATTCTACCTGGTGTTTTGGTACTGAATACGTGCCTACTATTTGAAAGTAACGGCTAAATATCGTCGAATTTTTAAATATTTTCCAGTTTTTTATAGTGTGTTTGACTCTTCATTGATATACCCAACGTTACCTTATCAATGCGTAGTATTAATTTCAGTACACCGCCTTAGGTTACATCAGTTATTGCAAAAACAGATAAATCCTAATCTAGGAAACTTTGACAATGTTCCATATTTGTATCACCAACATATTAAAATATTTAAAATCATCTTTCTTTAATAGTTTTCCACGCATTTTATAGTCATACAGTAGCCAAATTGGCTATTGACAATTCTGATGGCATGTACTCGATGATAATATCAAAATGTCCACTCCACAATTATATAACACACCTATTCATTACAAAACCTCGAGTAGTTCTGTTTAATAACATCAATACCAGTATTGCTTAGAGTATTTACTCATTATTATACTAATGAATTGACTTCTAACTACCTTTGAGTAGAACGTGACTTGTCAAAATCCTACTTTCTAAATCAACAAAATATATATTTTACAGCTGACGCACGAAACGCCCACCTCAATCTTCATGTAGCTAAACCTAGTATTTGGACTAAATGTGAGGGAAAACGTGTCCCACGGTTGTACCCAAACGTTTTATAAATTGAATTCGCAAAACATGACTTTTTATCACTTTTCCGATGGACAAGATGGACTACTAGGTTACGTACCATTAACTCAACTATCCACTAATTCAATTTCAACAAATATGTTCACGTTACCTAAATAATGAATAACATTAAGACATCTCTGATCCCTCTTGTACTACAGGTTGTTGAAGTCAGAACCCATACGATCAAACACGCATACTAAACTATAGTTCAGTCACCTCTTAAATACATAACATCGATAACAAAGTTCTCGTTGTTTACACTCCATATTTCCTTCTTAAACTAATTGCTTATCAATTACCGTTCACTCATAAATAAGATTTCAGTCTTATGAACCTTAGCTTTACTATCCACACATTTTTTCATACTTGTCACTGAAACGTGGTGTTCTCCTTCAATGTTTGATTCGGAATTAAATATCCAGAACTACCAGTTCTATCTCTGTAAAACAGAAATTAAACTTTTAAGTGGCTGTCATATATGCCTTGGATTCCCCGACAACTAGTAAGGTTGAAAATGGTGTCTTGGAAAGTTTATTTGAATCGGTCTAAATATCAGTCAACACTCCGAATCATAATCTTCTCCTGGGATGTATATACAGAGTCACGGATACTTTGGACAATGTGAATGACCTTAATGTTAATGCCTTTATACATGCAGCTGAATTAAACTTCAATGCTGAGGTTAATAAAGAAGATTTCAGTTACATTGAAATTTCCGGTAGCTTTCAGTCATGTAATTATGAGTTCATACCAACAATTAACGTGCACTCCTGGTCACAGTAAGTTCGCAAATCGACAATGCATGATAACACAAGTGATCTAATATTTTTTAGAGTTATCATGCCACTATCTCAGAGTGGGATTCCTCATCCCCAATTAATAGTCTAGTGAATGCCATTGACACATTCTATCTGATCACTAACTACTGTTTAGATTCCTGTACAACTCTTAAAACTTACAGGTTAAGAAAGTCTAATGAAATATTTGTACCAGTTAAATATCGTAATAAATTAAATGTGCTTGCACTTGTAAGTATATTCTATTCCAAAAGTGAGATTAAACGAACTTCAAAGGTCCGATAGTTTTTTATTGATGAATCCGCTAAGTGAACCTCTCTGCCTTCTCTTACATTACACTTACACCGTCCCTAGCAACCTTAACTAATTTGGGATAGTAACTTATTGATGACAATGGTGGATGTGTCGCTCAATTTCATGGATTAGTTGAAGTTAGATATTAACACCGTTTGTTGGGTTGCTCAGTGGTCTAGTTGGTTAAGCGCCTGGCGCGAGATTGATAGGTCCTGGGTTCGAATTCAATAGCCAATACTTATTCAGTTCCTATAATTAAGCATAATTAATGCATAATAAATTGAGAACGGATTATCAGTGCATCATTTTTAACCATAACGCACAGAGATCTTCCAGTCTGATTATGATAACTGAAATGTGTTTGATGTTTAAAAGTATTTGTACAGACTATTTTAATATAGTTTACTTTAAAATTAACAAACAAGTAAAATTTACCTTAATCTCTTTCATGAACTCAATGGTTGGTTTCTTTACTATACTAAGATAGTTGATCCATTTAAGTTGTTTATATTCATCTTTTGCGTTAACAATAAAATGATTTATGATAAAGATTATCGATGATTCAGTTTGAACCTCCAACATAACATTTTCAAGAAAATTTCTGTAAAACAAACGAGAATTCATATAAATAAAATTATATTGACACTATATTCTGTACCCATGTAGAACATAAAATATTTTTTTCTAACAAGTTTTGTATTTGAACAGTCTCGTGAATTACGGTTCAAAGAGAAGTAAAATAAAAAAGATTATTGATAAACAAGAATGGTTTGGGCATATTCTTATTACGAAATTAATAGTCGTTTACCTTGATTACTTTATCACTGTAACACTATTATCCAGTGAATAAAATAGATTAAACCATCAGTTTGTCAATATGTTTTGAAAATGATTAGTTTAAACGATATATGTTTTCATGGTTTAATACTAATACTAATACCAATACTACTACTAATAATAATAATATTAATAATGATAATACAACACTAAAATTTCACTAACAACATATACTTTGTAGTTACTAAATATATCAAATGAAATAAAAGTATTGTCTCAAAATAAATTTCAGAGATTAAAATAGATAAGAAATCTCGATATTGTTCAGTAAGTCATATACAACTTCATTTTGACTATCACGTTTATAAACAAATTATAAGCTTCAGTATCACTGATGTATCTTACAGTTGAACTAAACTAGAAATATTTAAATTTAATTGTCTTACAAGTGAATTTTTATTTTCTAAAGTTTCATTTAGTTGACGTTCTTGTTACAATAACGATTTTAAATTTCTGAAGAAAAGTTTGACAGTTACAGTTCTTGTATTATATATGTAATATATATTGATCATTGTATGTAATAGAAAATGTGTGCCATGATTCTTGTAACTAGGTTGTTAATGTAAATTGTAAAACCTATTTTGTTAATGACCATACATAATTTATCCATTCTTATGCTTTTTCTGTGATCGTTAAACTGGTCTTCATTAGTGAATAGTACTGTCTTTAGTGGATTTTTCATTCACTAATATACTTCATAACATTAACGTCACCTTATCACTTAGTTTTATTCCAATTAGGTAACATGATATGTGTTATCCTTGTTTGTAATCCACGTGTTAGTTAATTATATTTTGTGACAAGACAACTAAACGCTACAGTGTTTGTTTTCTTAACGATTTTATTATCATCATAATAGTAGCATGTAACCAGGTCAATTGTAAAGACCTAAGAAATATAATGTTTATTGAAAGAACCATAACATATGAACAGGCACAAATAAATATGACAATCTGTTAACTAAAGTAATCGGCAAGTACATATTTGTCACGAAACGAAAAAACAAGGACAAAATTAATATTATAATAGTATTCATACAAGGCTATAATAAAAAAACAAATTGAAAACAAATATTTCTTGAATAGGTCGAAGTAAGACATTAACATAGTTGGATGTGGCGCAGGGGTCTAGTGGTCGTGACCGAAGTTCCTGAGTCTACTGAAGTTAGACCATTAGGTCCTGGGTTCGAATCCCACGATGAGGAGTCGTGGATTCGCACTGCTGAGGAGTCTCACAATAGGACGAAACGACCGTTCAGTTCTTCCATGATGGTCCACCTTCAATTGACTCATGATCTCAACTACTGAAATTACTAAGATCTCTACAAAACCCCTTCTGCTCACTAGTGACTACCTTCAAGATGTATTTCCTGGAGTTCTAGTGAAAAGCAGTGACCAGTGGAGTTCAACTTGGTCTGTTCTGAGATAGTAACTCACTGATGACAATGGTGAATGTGTTGCTCAATTTCGTGAATTAGTTGAAGTTAGAAATTGATACCACTGGATCCGGGCCGGCTCAGTGGTCTAAAGGTTAAGCGTTCGCTCGCGATAACGACAGGTCCTGCGTTGGAATCTAGCGGGGCGGGTTCGTGGATGCGCACTACTGAGGAATCTCATACTAGGACGACATGGTCGTCCAGTGCTTCCAGGTTTTCCTTGTTGTGTATCTTTAGTTGATTCATGATCTCAACTCTTGAGATTGCTATAATATCCACAATAACCCTCTTTTGATATCAAATATTTCTTCGTTTTTTTTGTTTGTTTTATCAAATGTCTGAATAAGAAATTTTACATTTAAATATTCATTTATTTGTATCAATAAAGAAATGTACTCACCTAATTTCTCTTGTTTGAATATTTTCTTCCCATGAATTGTATACTATTTTCCATTGTTCATAAGTTAAACACTTTAATTGTTCAATAAAATAACTGAATTTCTCAGGTGTGTTCATTATCATATTAATATAATTATGGTTTGTGATATTATTTTCTATAAGTAAATTATTAATCAATAATGTGTGATTTCTATCAGGTACTTCAAAATCCGTTTCGGATATTCCATCAACTAAAAAATTAAGGTATAAACCGATGATCAAATAAAGTCTCATTTGTTTTGGAGTGGTCAATTGTTTGAAATTAGGATCTTAAGATCTTTGATCTGAGTTTTTTGAAGAATTTTTTATATACGAATCTACTGGTAATCTCTATGTTTTTATTGCTTCGGATATCATTTTAGTCGTATTCAGTAATAATCCTTCATCTAAAGTGTCAAATGTTCACCTTGATTTTTTGTTGTTTGAATCTTCCTGTTAATAATTAAAACTGTAAATGATCAGTCTTCTTTCGGAATACAAACAATATTAGCATGTTACATACATATTAGCAGATGCAGTCACACTGCGTCTAAAATAACTTGTGACGGATTGGCAAAATCATCGCAATCCTCACATGATGTACATATGTCAAAAGAGACTGATTAACTGCTGTTTATAATATTAACGACAAAGTTCAAATAACGATTTAAAATAAATTAGAATCCACTCCGTTGTATAACCCAGTGGATGTTTGGATATGTCCTTTTTTACTTTGAAAAGAAAGATATTGACATCGAGTTTCGATATAATCATCGATACTGAAACCGGAATACATTCAGCTGACAATCTTAAAACAAGCAGCAAAATCTGTTTTTGGATTCCACTGTTACCCACTATTTAAGTTTACCACATTTACTTTATAACTCCATCTTTTTAAATTAAGTATAACACTGATTAGGATTTTACAAAACTATTTAAATAAACGAATCTATTATAAATAATAAAAAGATTCACATAGAAAAAGTTGTTTTAGTCAAAATATAATTACATTATCAACTATTTTAATAAGTTGTGGGAAAAGTATCTCACAAACAATACTACTATAATTTACTTTATTTATAATCTAATGAAACACTATATTAATTAAGCCTATCTTTAAATGATTCCTCACTATTAAAAACTGATGTGTTCTACAACAAAATCGATTGAAAAAATATGTATTTAATTTCGGCTGTAACTAGTGATTTTAGCTTTTTTCTAAATGTACTTACGCCAGTGACCCCTAGTGGAGCATAGGCTCTCTACTAGTATTCTCCAACCTACTCTGTCCTGGGCCTTCTTTTTAGTTCTATCCAATCGTTGTTTATTGTTCTTATGTCTGTCTCCACTTCTCGGTGTAATATGTTCTTTGCTCTTCTTCTCCTCCTTTGGCCTTGAGGATTCCATGTGATGGCTTGTCTTGTGACTCATTTGGGTGCTTTCCTTTAGTGTGTATCCTGTCTAATTCCATCGTTTCTTCCTGATTTCTTCCACCGCTGGAATCTGTCTAGTACTCTCCCACAGTGGTTTGTTGCCGACGGATCAGTATTATTTTGAGTAGACAACTGTTAATAAACACTTGTATCCTCTGGATGACTGCTTTCGTAGTTGGCCAAATTTCTGTCCGATACAGTAGAATTGTCAAGACATTGATGTTGGTTGACAGTTGTTTTTAGTTCTAGATGTCATAGAATTCCACAAAGTAATTTCATGCTGAAAAGCCAAATTTTGGTATATTTCATGTTTATATATGAATGTAATATATTAAACTTTTCTAATTGTATAAACTTGTAATTGTATATTTCTCTATTGATCCATTTAAGTTGTTTGTATTTCTACTTTTATGAGAATTGGATGTTTTAAATTATGTTTATTAGTAATATAGTAATTTGAAGTTTATTCTGATCTTTTGATAATATATTACTTTTATATATAATAAAGATGAACAATAACAAAATCTGGCTTTTAAACCTAATGGAATTCTATGATATAAAACTTCGTTCATGAGAATTAGTTTGAAACATTTTAACAATAGCTGAATATATTATTAATATATTGACTATTCTAAATATTAAAATCTACTCTTGTTTTTTCATCGTTAGAAATAATGGATACAACGTTTTGTTTCGATATTAATCATTAATGTATGAATAGTTTTTTTTTAACTTCTCCTACGTTTATTCAGCTCAACTTTTTACATTAATGTAGCAAAAAGAATACAGTTGAAAACAGTAACACCATGTTTTAATTGATATTATTTTCTATATTTGACGTTTTAAGTATTCATTATTGGGAAAATAAAATATTTTCAAGTTTGCAAGTGATATCTATCAGTAATTGATCTTTGTTAGTTTTTTTTCAAAAACAAAAAGAGATCTTGGACAATTATTTCGTCTAAGCATTGAACTCCTTAAATGTTGACTATCAAGATACTTCTGGGAAATGTTTTCGATTTGACTTATGTCAAGTTTGAAAACCATGTGTTACTTTAGTGAACAAGAACATGAGTGCTGACTATCGAATATATTTGAGCACATAATTACAAAACATCTCATTGAAATTTCAGAACCATATAGTAAATAGTTAATTTGCAAAATATCAATCCATCGTCTCAAACTTCACTGTTCCTTTGCAAATATCAGTCCATTGTCTCAGATTTCATTGTTCATGCCTTTTCATACAAATCGCGTTCCGTTTTTGTTCTTTCCTTATCGATCTTCTGCTGAAATACATTCTATGCCTGACAACCGTTATATACTACTTATATGGATATATGCATTCCCACACCACATCACTACTTAAAATCACTGAAAAACAAATAATTGTTTACTGATTCGAAATTTCTCAACAGTAATTTCAATTAATTTACGAAGTCATAAAACTTCTTTTTTTTAGTGATCCATTATCTGACTCCACTTTGATCGTTTCTGATTGCTATCGAAATGCATATGTCGCCACTCCTCGTATATATTATTATCGACTTATTCCGCATTAGTGTATGACGGAATTAAATAAGCCAAATACAAGAATGAAGTTTTAGTACGTATATTTTGTACACTCATTGATCTGGACAGACAATTAGAGGAACGAAGCAAATGAACCAAAGAGAAAAGAGCAAAATGACGTGCGGTGGAGATAGGATGTGAGCCAACTCAACCGAGTGTTAATCAATATTTATAGTCAAACAAAAACAAGCTACAGACATGTGATGAGTAGGATAAAATGTACATACACATATGCGCACATATAAAAACAGTCAGGGTTGATAAATGAATAATTAACAAGGTCAAAACGTGAATCAAGAAGAATAAATATATTGGCTTATCCAGAAGCTAGAATGAGTTACATGGGCTTAACATAGTAACCGACACTACAATTTTGCTTTCAAAGTAAACTTTTGAATTGCATGTCTAATTTCATTTTTACGATTTAAGTAGGTAAAGTGAAATTTACTACAAATATTTAACAATAATATGTTAAAGTGTGAAATAATCAAGTAATAATGGGTTTATATTTCGTTTAAATTGTCGAAATGTCGTACAATGAAAAACAGTTCAAAAGATGCATAAACTGTGCGACATGTTTTTTAGAAATATTATTATACATTTGGAATAAATTCACTTATATAGAAAAGGATTAGTTCAATATTCTACTGATAGACCAATTAAAAAATAAGATAGCTGTTCATCATTTTCTCCTAGAAAAAACAAACACTGATGGATAGTTTACGTTTTACTAAACTTCATGTAACACCTACAAATATATAGTTACAACAATACCTGAAAATCAGAAACATGCAAACACTCGAGAATAAGAGACATGTATATCAAACTATCCTAGAAGCTTCAAATATTTCAAATCAATAACCAAATTTTGTAAAATAACCCACATTATGAAAATTGAAGCGTGCAACAACATCTTTACTTCATTCAAAACATCAGCATATATTCTCTTAATATCTTTAGCATCACTTAAAGTTCACTTATATATTCATAAGTATAATAAGTCGTGTGATTAAGTATTCCTTTTGAACAGTTACAATGTATTTTTACACTCTAACCAAAACTCTTACATTAAACCTTAACTCCTAACCCTAAATCATCATTCAAAATTCTAACATTAATTATTTATTTCTATAACCTACATTCTAATCAGGTAAAAATTGATTTCACCTTTCAAAGTCTTGTAACGAGTACACGACAGTCTTTAGCAAAGTATATCTTTACTGCTCACTTAGCGAATTATATATATATATATATATATATATATATATATATATATATATATATACATATATATATATATATATATATATATATATATATATATATATAAGCGTATTTGATATATTACATGAAATATACTCATGTAAATTTAGTTTCTTAGGGATGCTGAAAAGATCTAAGCTTGTTAGATACATTTTTATTGCATACAAGGACTGTTTGTCTTTTTTTGAGAAATTTCTAAAACAAAATTGGTACTCTGACGTATATAATGCAAGAAAAATACTAATAAATAAACTATGAATGAGATGGTGGTTTTTTTCCTTGTCTTTAATTGAATGCATGAATTAAGCAACAACAACAACAACAAAAACCAACAAGAAGAAGAAAGAAATGAACTAGACATTTTGTTAACGTCTACTTATAATTTTATTGTCTATTGTTGATTGAAAAACAAAGAACTTATTATATGAATAAATTGATATCCGACTAAATATCAGTATAAAATTCAACTGCATGCAATGTTATTATAACTGCGTAAATATGTTCTATTTCTAGAAGTCTATAACATTATGTAACTTTGATTAAAAAAAATGGGACATTGTTAGTGTGAACAATAAAGTTTCATCACTATACAATTACTAATAATATATTTTTTGCTTGTTTCAAAATCAAGATAAAACAAATGCATAAGAATCCCATTCGCGGGACCGTGGATGCGCATTGCTAGGGGAGTACCACAATAGGACGAAATGGTCGTCCAGTGATTCCAGCTCGTTCAACATCAATCGGTTCATGATCTCAATCAAAAACCTAAGAATACCAATATTAAAAGAACAAACTATTGTGACTAATAAGTTTTTGTGAGTCAATTGAAGCTAGACCACCATGGAAAATACGGAAGCACTGGACGACCGTTTCATCCTAGTATAGGACTCGTCAGCAGTGCGCATTCACGAACACGCACCCTGCGAGGTTTGAACCCAGGACCTATCAGCCTCGTGCCAGGTGATTAACCAACTAGACCACTGATCCGGCATCCAACGGTGTTAATGTCTAACTTCAACCAACTCACGAATTTACGCCACCGTACACCATTGTCTTCAGTGAGTTGATATCTCACAACAGACCTGGTTGAACTCGACTAGTAACGGCTTCTCACTAGAACTTCAGGAGTATCTCTTGAATTCAGTCACCAGTGAACAGATGGTCGTGGATGCTGAGGAGTTCCATACAAGGACGAAACGGCCGTCCAGTGCTTCCAGGTTTTTCATGGTGGTCGAGCTTCAATTGACTCATTATTTCAAACAATCGATAATAGACGATAAAGTTAAGATTGATAATTATAGTGAATAAGGTATTTCATAACGATAAAAAAATTTAAATCATTCAAGTTCCATTGATAAATTTCGATAATATAATAAGATGACGAAGATTATCGGAATTATATGTTAGATTAATGCAATATATTTCAAACAATCTGATCACACATAATACACTTGTTAAGAACATTTATATATAGAAATAAAAGGTCAACACAGGGAGGAGTAGTCGAGATCTCAAAATTAGGGTATGTGAACGTGTACCTAAATGGTTTCAGAAACAAATAAAATCAAATGACCCAATAAGAGTACAGGATAAACATCCATCATATTCTATTGCTAAACATATAATCGAAACAGACCATAAGATTGATCTTAACTCGACTTTTGTGATGTTGTACAAAAGTGTAAAGGGGGTATATTAAAGTTTATTAAAGCCTTATCCACACGGAAATTCAAACTTACTTTGTGTATTTAAAAATAGTTTATTCTTAAATTAAAACTTCACTGGCTGTTTCGTTGTAGCATGGAACTACTCGGTATTACGCATCCACGATCCCGCCCGCAAGATTCAAACCTTACGATCTCGCGCACGAACGCTTAACCTCTAGACCTTGTCTCCTCTTAATTCTCATCCATTTCTAGTCTAGTTGACCTTTTATTTTTATATATAAATGTTCTTAACAAGTATATTACGTGTGATCAGATTGTTTGAAATATATTGCGCTAATCTAACACAGAATTCTGATAATTTTCGTCATCTTATTACACTAACGAAATTTATCAATGAGAATTAATTACTTTAGATAACAATATCATAAGTTTCACTTTCAACAAGTATTGATAAATATAATACCGCATGAATGTGTCAATTCTACAAAAAAGTATTCCTGTTAACATTATGAAAAAAATTTTTCTTTATTAATTTCATGTTCATTTTCATTAGAAATATTATTATCAATATCTAAATTCCTATTACTTTAAATAGAATTAAAAATGTTTAACCGACTTTTTTTGGTGGAAAATAACTTCTCATAGCAGCAACAACAGAAAACGCATATCACTTAAACAAATTTTAAAAAATTCACATGAAATAGATTATTTGTAAAAAAAATTTTATCAGAAGGGGTATTGTGGAGATTTCGAATCTGGCGATGCGAGATCGTGGATACGTACTGCTGAGGAATGTCGCAATAGGACGAAACGGCCGTTTAATGTTTCTAGGTTTTCCACGGTGGTCTAGATTCAATTGATTTATGATCTAAACTATTGAAATCATTTTTATTTTATCTTAATGTCTGGTTATTGAAGGAAATTTCTATGAATCCCTGAATAAACATATTATATTGATTAAGTTCTCTGTACATATAATGCATTAAATTGTGAAGTTGTTTAGATGATTGATAGATTCAACCAACACTAAGAACTAATCAAGACGACACTGGTTACAACATATTAACCGATTGATATGTATCATCTGAACACAATAGAGTCTTTGATAAAACAATTTCCAAGGTTTTTAATAACTGAAGTCATTTTGTTTTAAATTAATTGTCATGAATACTTTCAAGTTGTCTTCAAATTATTCTTCATCTTCCTCATACTTATCAAGTATATGACTATCATCTGAGGACTTTACTAAATATGATCAGTTCCCTTTGATAAAGCCTGTTTTTTGGCGTTTAAAATTTTCCGATACTTCGATATGTAACCTTCTTCCTATTTTTTCAGAATACTTTATCAAATCTTTTTTAAATAAAATTCGATATCTTGAGTAAGTGACGTCGACAAAGAAGACTATTTTCTTTACTTATTCGTCTTTTATTATTAATATCACTTGAAACGGTTATAATTTTTACTAATAACAAATAAAAACATACTGTCACTTCAAGCAATCACCTAAAACTGTTTTTCACCGTTGTTTATTTATTCGAAATATAGTTGTAAGAAAATTGGTGAGACTATAATTTATGGATAAAGTAATCAGGTATAAGATAACAGGTCTCAGATTTTGGCGTGAAATTCACTCATCCATTTGGCTAAATAGAGTTTTAGCATTATAACTGATGTCAGTTCATGATGAAAATCCTAAATATAATTCCTAATCTTAATCATCAACTGTAAATCATAATTCCGATTCCTCACATTGGTTTATAACCTTTAGTTAGTTCAAGTTATTAGGTAGACAATCTCAAAGTCACTTTAGCTTCACTCAAAGATTGTTCATAAATTATTGTCTCACCAGAAAATCTTTTGTTTATTTAGACAATACGAAATACTAATATGTCCTTGATACAACTGAAATGCAAAAGAATAACAAAATAGTGAGTATATCTATACTTTAGATTCTTTTGAAAAAATCTATTACGTATTTTGTGACAGAATTCATAGATATTCCGATTTCTTTCTAATTAATTCAGTATCATTGAATACAAGGATTTAAATGGTAAATGTTTCAACTAACCTACACTTATCACTATAGAGTCTGTCTTCGTTTTTTTTAGAAAAATAGTTTTTTCCCTCTCTACCTATAAATAGTTATGCCTTAAGAAAAGAACAGTCATGATAAAATATTTTGCCGAGCTAAAACAAAAAAAATACTTTCAATTATCAATTTCACCAAGCAATAAACCTGTCGATTAAAATCTTTATTTACAATTTCTGTAGACATGAAAATAAAATACCTTTAAGATAGTAAAAAGGAAGAATATATATGTAAAATCTTAGCGAATGAATTTGAAGTAATTCTAACGTTTTGCCTGGTAATTCATTCTTCTTATTTCATGTTTTATGTCAAATTGGCGCCCAAATATTGTGAAACTATTCGATCAAATTTAGACAAATTTTCTTATTAATTAAATTACCTGTTTTTGATTGAGATCATGAACCGATTGATGTTAGACCACCGTAGGAAACCTGGAAGCACTGGAAGACTGTTTCGTTTTACTGTGAGACTCCTCAGCAATGCGCATTCACGATCTTGATCGGGGGATTAGAACCCAGGACCTTCAGTCTCGCGCGCAAACTCTCAACAAACTGGATCAGTTAGCCGACATCCAATGGTATTAGTGTCTAACATCAACCAATCCACGAAATTGCGCGACCATCTTTCTCTACCCGACACAGATTAACTCCACTGGTTACGGCTTCTCACTAGAACTTCGAGAATTCCCTCACGAATCTAGTCAGAAGTGGGTACATGTTTTTTATCAATATAGGTTGATGTTTGACAGTAGGCTAAGCGTTTGCGCGCGAGACTGAAGGTCCTGGGTTTGAATCCCACGGGTGAGATCGTGGATGCGCATTGCTGAGGAGTCCCACAGTAGAACGAAACAGTCGTTCAGTGCTTCCAGGTTTCCAACGTTGGTCTAACATCAATCGGTTCATGATCACAATCAAAAAGTTATTGATCTCCACAACCCCTATATTGATAAATTATCTGTATTTTATTTAGATGATACTATCTCCCCATTCTAGTGAATAATTCATATGAATAAATAACTAGTATATTTGTAATATCCCAATTAGTAGAAAAATTAGATTTTCTGAGAATAAGTAAATTCTCTGAAGAAGTGACCTACACTAAGTCACGAAACGTCAGAAAATCTCATTTTTCTACTCATTGGGATATTACAAATATACTATTTATTTATAACAATCTACCCAATGCTCAATTTATTCGAAATTATCATATCAAACCTTGGTAATGATGCCTACAATTCATATGAAATTAAAGTAATCCATTGGAAATTTATAAAAATCACTCATTCAGTTATCTTCCTGAAATTGTTTATTTTAATCAATAAGCGCATCATTTATGTTTGTCTGATATCACTACTAATCATTTTTATCGTTATATCATCACAACAAATCTAAATGAAGGTCAGGAAAAAAAATGTCCAGTTGTGAGTGATAAAAATCAGATTTAAATATTAGTCATAAAAGAGTATAGGAAGTATACAATGTTTAATAATAAACAAAGATTCAACTTACATTTTATAAATTCACCATTATATTCAGTTTCTTCAGTAAGATTTATTTGCATATTTACATTAATAGTTAAGGTGTTTATAGAAAATAATGGAAACCATTGTTGTTGAGTAATTGAAGTTTCTTGACAGTTGACATTTATTATTGGTCCATTTAATTTATGTGTTAATTCACATAATAAATCACTTTGCAAATATAAAGGTCGATTATTTATCTACAAGAAATAATTAATAAGATATGGATTAAATTTTTTTGTTGTAAGAATTATTATAAACCTCCTTAATAGAACATTATTAGAAATATATACTTCGGTAACTTTTCAAAGAAAACAAACATTGTGAAACTGTAAAATCACTTGATAGGAATAATCTATCATCAACGTTTGTACTAAACTTCCTACCTAAGATATTTGAAACATGAAGATTTGAAGTTTAATTGTTTACTTATATTTGTTAGTGTTTCAACACCCCTTCAGGAGACCAGGAATAACGTTCCGCGTACTCGAATTGTTTGCCCTAGCGATGTTAGATGATAAAGGGACATGAGAAAGATTAGTCGTGAAAATAAGAGATTCATTTGGAGGTGTAAGATGAATTTGAATGTGTCTAATTTTGCCTCGTGCGCTGTTACGGGTATGAGGGCTGATATCACTTCACGGCTGCCCACACCGTGGAAAGGTATTTCTTGAGGAGCCTGAAAAGGAAGTCGGATTAGTGTTGGTCTTAACGACCTGGGAGCGTGACCGCAGAGTCCAAGGGATAACTACTTGAAGCCGGTCGCGCAAGGCTTTTTGTGGGAGGTTTATAATGTGTTAGCTTCGTTATTCAAAGGGCCTTACTTCTGGAGACGGAAACCCGTGAGGTAACTTGAGGTGTGACATTTTTAGGGTGCATCCACTCTTTGTGTTCTCCCAAATTCTAATCTTCTGGATTATTCATGTCCCTTTCTTTTTCTCCTCCCAAATTTATTTCACTGGATTGCACTCTTTGAATAACATCTTCAAACCCTAATGTTTCCGATTACTGCTAATACTCATACTACCTCTACCACCACGGGATTTGAGTCGATAATTGTAACTGTGTGCTAATGCGGTATGGCAACTCGAATTGATGAATAAAGTTCTACGTTGTTACTGACTGACTGACTGATTTACAACACCCCTTCAACACATTATTCTTTAAAATGGATGCAACAATAATTACATAGAAATTTATTTTCTCTATAATATCTCATTTGGTGATTACTTTTAATAAAAAAACAACCATTAAAATTTCATAGCGGCTGTTATTCTTCACATGTTATCAACAACAAATTAGTCAAACATTATTGATATATCTAATAAATAAACAAATTTGTCTTAAATGAAAGGAAAACAAAAATCATTTTCATAGCTTATTTGAAAGGTAGAATTCAGTGTATTTTCGTTTATCTTATGTGTATATTCATCGATGAATGCAGCATTGTAGATTACTACTGTTCAGATCCTAAATGAACAATAAAGACAAATCGTAGTTTTTCATTGAATACCGCATTGTTTGTTTTACAGACTGTTCTTGTAAAATGTTTTTCTTCAACATGAATTATGTTTGTATATCTGCTTAAATCGATATTTACTCCATATATCAATCTCATTTAACATTATGAAGTATACAATAAAAATCTCACGATAATAAACAAATTTTAACTAGTAACTTATTTTGTTTTGGTTATAAACTTGATAAGCTATAAACAATTTATGGGGATTACAATAAAGAATAAACAAATAATGCATAAATATCCTAAGCAATAGAAACATTTCCTATTTTTATTTCCTTTAAAAGCTAAAAATAAATAATCATTCATTGTAAGATCTCGTTTATCATGAATTCATTACATTTTTCAGAAATTATAACATTTTGATGGAGGTTCGTTCTCTGAGCTGGGTGGTTTAGTCGTAGAGCTTTCATCGTCTTTCTGAACGAAATCATCAGAACAAACTTCAGGTAGAAGTCTTTATCTCCCATTGAGAGATACAACCAAAACAAAGAAGTAAACAGGATAAGTTTAAGGTCAACAAAAACCAATCAACATCGAGGTCTACAAGACAAGCTGTGAACCACATGTGGAAAAATTCGAACACTTCACTTCTACTCGATGTCTGTGCTGATGATGTTGTTCAGAAAAATGATGAAAGCCCCACGACTAAACTACCCAGCTCGGAGAACAAAACTCCATCAAAATCATCCACCTGAGCTACAAATCTTTTGCAATACTCTATTTTTTCATCGCTAACTAGAAGATATCCATGTTTAATTTTTCTATGTAACTATGTAATGTTTTGTAGCTACTTCCTTATCTGTCAAATCTATTCAGTATTAAGATGTGATGTTAAATAAATAAACAATAGAGTTATAATTAATCATTTTTAATAAATATTCCTATTATTTGTTTTACAAATTACAAACTTACTATGAACTGTTGATCATTTAATTTTGAATTATCTCTTATAAAGAATGGTTGATATTCATCATTACAAAACATTGAATTTCGTTTCTTGATCATAGTCACTGAATGTGAATTGATAGTTTTAGGAATATATTCTGTTTGACATGAACCCAAGTGATCTATCTAATAAAAACAATAGATTATATAAAAGTATATATTTCTATGAGAACTGTAATTTAAAAAAATGATTCAAATATGTTTTGAATATTATTCTTCTAGTAAACGATTTCATGCGACCATAAGTTGAATAGAGGATCTTTAGTTTTGACTTTAGTTTTCTGAAGAAAACATACAAACTTCTAGGATACTGGTTTATTACTATAAATGTCATTGTTTAGTCTTTTGTTATACAACCTACATGGGAGTTGGAAGTAAGGGAATCTAGCCCATGACGCGACATGCTAATCTATATATATACATGTAAACATCTTGATTGAATTCTACTAATTAACGCTGAAGTAGATCAGAACCGAAGCTTACACAGAGGTAACACTGATTACTAACTACTCAGTGAATGTTAGATACCAAAATTGCTTGTATTAATTGTTATATGCTTATGGTCGGTTAATTATCATGTGATACGGTCGCCAATTGGAACATCGACTTATTGACCAGACCAGTGGCGCATAAATCTGTGCGAGCGACCTAGAGTAAACTCTGAATTCTTATTGGTCTGTAGAGATAGCAGCTTCTCGTCTAACCCAGCTGGTTTAGTCCAGAATGCTAGCATCAGCCCTCGCGATATGAATCCGGTATTTCAGTTATAATAGAAAGAATTTGAATATAAATATAATATAATTATTTAATAGTCATACAGTAAGAATATATATAATAACAGTCCATAAATAGATCCTGATAGTTATTATTCACTTATTCTTCGTCCAGGTATAACATAATTGGAGAAAGATTACTTTTTTTCGTATACCTTTAGCAAATGATGAGAATATATATTTTTATTACTTGTTAAAATAAAGTGAAGAAATAATTTACTGACAAACTACCCTAAGACTCCTGGAATTCCAAGTAATATTCCAAACACAATGACGATTGGATTGGAATTCATTAAAAGTTTAGTAGAAACTACTAATATTTAGTTACTAAGACATTTGAAATTGATAAAAATGGAGAAGCGCAAGATTGGGGAGTAGGATTTCTTAAATTTTAAAACCATCCCAAAGGTTCGTAATATTTAAAACCAAAAAAACTATTGTAAGCAAAGATGAATTAAGGCAATATCCAGGCAATACATACAGTATGCACATATGCTAATAAGAGACTGATTAATTGAAGTCTTAAACATCGATTAAAAATTTCAAACAAACAGTACCCAGTGAATTTAAACGACTACTAGCTCAATTACTCACCTATATTGCTACTAATCATTTATATACTGCAGTTTTAATTAGAAAAAATATCATGGAAATTTGAATTCAACGATATACAGACCGTTAAAGTACAAATTTGTGTTAGATAATTTTCTTTAAAAACACATGGTAATTTTAAAGCAAGTCAATAATTCTAGTAATACCAAACATTAGCACATGTTCTCATGATTGATTTTAAATGATCTTTTATATTTTAATTTTCTACCTTTATTTTTCTTGGAAATAGTGGCATATGCATTCTTCAACTGACTGACCTTTAACTGGTTGAACTGGACTACATATACAAGTATGGTTTGTGTAAATAAACATTACGGTTTGAAGGATATGATTTTTAGTGGCCCGAAATCTGACTCCCATTATATCGTATGGTTGATTGCTATCGAAATGTATATATCGTCAATCTTCACATAAATTATCGACTTGATCCGCTGTAGTGAATAACGCAATCAAATAAGCCAAATTCCAGAATGGATTTTGAATACGTATATTTCGTACAATTGTTGATCGAGACAAACGATCAAAGAAATGAAGCGAAATGACGCGCAGTGGAGAAGACATGTGAGCCAGTTCCATTTAATCATGAGTTAATCGATATTTATAGTCACACAAAAATAAGCTGCGGATGAGTGATGAGTAAGATAAGATGTACACTCATATAAAAACAAACAAGGTTGATAGGTGAACAATTAACAACGTCAAAATATGAATCAAGAAGAATAGATAAATTGACCTGTCCAGAAGCTAGAATAAGCTGTGTGGACTGAACATATCTACGGACACTACAGGTTCGTATCACGGAAGTATCTCCATTTATGTTAATGACGAAGTACATTTCGATTTTAGTTAAATGTCATCATTTTTGAAATTTTTTTGTACAGGAAAAACATTGTCTACACACATTCAAAGTCCACGGTCGTATGAGAAAGTAATCTATACTTGTAATTCTAATTTTTATTAGAATGACAATGAATGAGAATAAGAATTGAAATAACTAATATTCAGGAAACGTAACAATGCGGAAAGCAAATAGAAACTTAATAATTAATCTAAAAGTTTACATAAAGGTCAATATAGTTAGGGTCTCAATAACTGGTTCCAGTTAGACAAGTACTGAAAACCAAAATGAACTGGAAATTTGTTTCTTCCCAGCATAACATTGCTTCTTAGTACACATTCACAATTTTTTTGCTACGAATCGAATCCAAACCCTAAACCTTTAGAACACCGAATCGTTATTCAGCGGCTTACATATCCAACATCAGTCGATTCATGATATGATGCAATCACCTTCAATCTCTGATAGATTGTCTTTTGTATGTTGTTCAAAAATATCATACTAGGAAATAAAAGTTGTCTAATATTCATGATTTCCATTAATATTCGTAGGAATGTAAATTATAAAAATCAATAATCACTCCAAAAGAACAAAAGAACACCTACCATTAAACATAAAATGATGTAACATACATAACTATTGAACTTTCGTATTGATTAATTCAATTTAGAGAATGATAAATGTAAATAAATGTAGTTTCGTGAGACGTTTTTAATAAAAGGGATACATATATATTGGCATCAAAAATCAAATGTTTATCTATTTTTTGTATTTAAGATTAAAAAGGCATACATCAAATATAATGCTTGTTTTTTAAAAAATGTTAGAAAATTCTGTTCAAATTTATCTTCGTCGGTAACAATCATTATTGAAATATTCATAGAACCGAATAAACTTTTAGGATTATATAAATGAATACACGAAATCTAGTAGTAAGTCTATAAAGTATATTCTTAATTAAGAAAGTCATGTAAGTATATTCGTATATATGTTTAAAATGTTTTCACAATGTATTGAGAATATTAGAAAGGGTGTTTGTAGAAATGATTAATAATTTTAATGTTTGAGATCAGTTGAAGGTAGACCACCACGTTTGTGCCTGGAGATAAGAGATATGGATCACTGTACTGGGATACTGCACTAGTTCACATTTGTATCAGAAGGGATTTTGTAGAAGTTTTAGTAATTTCAATTGTTAAGATCATGAGTCAATTGAAGCTAGACCAGTATGTTCAGGGTTCGAATCACGTGAGGCGGGGTCGTGGATTGGCACTACTGAGGAGTCCTCCATTAGGACGAAATGACCGTTCAGTCCTTCCATGATGGTCTAGCTTCAACTGACTCATGATCTCAACTAATGAAGCAACTAAAATCTCCACAAAACCCTTCCTGATGTCTATCAATATATACTCACTAGTGCCTGGTTTCAAGATGTATATCCTGGAGTTCTAGTTAGAAGCAGTGATCAGTGCAGTTCAACTAGGTCAGTTGTGAGATAGTGACTCATTGATGACAATGGTAGATGTGTCGCTCAATTTCGTGGACTAATCAAAGTTAGATATTAACACCGTTGGGTGTAGGCTGACTCAGTGGTCTAGTGCTCGCGCGCGAGATTGATAGGTGCAGGGTTCGAATCCCGCGAAGCGAGGTTGTGGATTCGAACCGCTGAGGGGTCCCATAATAGGAGTAAACAACCGTCCAGTGGTTCACATTTGTCTGTAAAGTCAGTCTACAATTCCAAAAAATTGGTTCTCGCAATGAAAAATTCAAATCTACACGAAAAATTGTCACAATCAGGTACGATTCCATCGATATTATCGAATCATAATTCACATTTTGTAAAGGCAAATTACACATTTCAATCAGTCACTGTATAATTATTTGTGTTAAAGACTTGACAAACATAAAACTGAATAACACTCAATAACTAGGAATATTTTGTTTCTGCTAATACAGCATACTTCTGTGTTTGCAGTTCAAATAATGAATAATAAACAAAGTATATAACACAAACAAAATCAAATGATAGTTCTGTAACAAACTTGCGTCAACTGAATTCATTAGGAATAAATTGTGATTATTTTAGACTTATCTCATTTAACGCTTCATCTGCTTTGAAAATTTGTCAATAAAAGAATATGTAATACTTTTGATGCCTTCGTTAAAGTTTTCCTGAATGGTCCATTTGATTATTTTGATGTTCATTTTTATTTTGAAAATAATATTCATGACAAAATGATGTGTATAAAAAACAAGCAGACACTTTTTGATTTTGTGTGGAACTATTCAACGGTTTGAATGCATGGACTCATATTGGAACAAATCAAAACGGATGAAGTCTATAAATAAATAATTCTAAATCCATCAAAGTACTTTCTTTACCTTCAAAGGATTTGCTAATTACTTGTTACGTCTCTTAACCCTCGTGAGTGAACATAGACCGCCCACAAGCATTCTCCTTCAAAATCTGTTCTCGGATGATCTTTTCAAGATTTCTCCATTCACTTATCATTTTTATGATGTCTACTTCAAATTCTCAACGCAATGTGCTACTTAGTCTTCCTCTTTTCCGTTTCCCTTCAAGATTCCAAGTTAGCACTTACCTCGTGATGTAGTTTGGTGATTTTCGTAATGTATGTCCTATTCACCTCCAATGTCTTCTTTTAATTTCCTCTTCAACTGGAAGTTGGTTTGTTGTTCTTCACAGTGGGCTATTGTTGATGGTAACTGGCCAACGGACGTTGAGTATCTTGTGTAGACGATTGTTTAGAGATACTTGTCCATTTTTGATATTGGTTTTGATAGTTCTCCAAGCTTCTATTTTGACGTTCGTATTGAATATTCTAACTTTGATGTAGGTTGACATTTATTTTGCGTTTCATATATTCTTCAACTGTAAGAAT